TTATCTTATATCATATATTTTATATTTCATCCGAGATTTTTACGTTTTTCACTCACCGACATGTACAAATATCACGAAGAAAAAGTATGAAATTGAAACTTTTACACATAAACGATAATATTGTGCCCGTKCCACAATCGATTACGAACTAACAGACATTAATAATTATATCTTGGTAGGTAATTCAATTTATYTTATCACATATTTCCGATRGMAATAATAGCTTAACTGTTACAATTTTATTGAACTAGAAAATGTACATGCTAAATTTGCCCCAGTTCCACGAGTTCTTATGGCCCCACTCCCCCTTGTGAGGGCCTCGTGTGTGACTGTATATTGAGGTAGGTTCGAGTTGTCGCTCCAATAAATGAAGAAGCGCGCCATCTGGTTTTATATAATCTCCGATACTGGATTTGCAGAATGGAAACTACCTATAATTTATAGGTAGTTCTAGTATAATCTATATGCATTTACAACTAGAACTTACTGAAGTCGAGCWTTAAAGGCATGTCCCTTAAAAAATCTCAACATTCGTATACACAGAGATAAGCGCGATCATGTCGTTGAGATATACCTGCAGATGCAATAAGTCTTTTTATTGTCCGACCATTGGCCGTCAACTACATATAGGTGCCTACGGCCTGCAACCACACTCACACGACGTTATTTTCGCYTGACATTTTGCAAAYCCGATCCAAATTATCTGGAACTCATGCGTTTTTGTTTCGTACCGTGTATGGTGCAGGACGTTAGGTCGTGGTGACAAAAATATATTTAGTAGAAGTGAGACAGTCGGTGAGAGTTGGTGAGAGTGTATGTGTGTGTGTTTGAGAGAGAGAGGGAGAGAGAGAGAGAGAGAAAAGGTATACATCGATCGCGTATAAGCTTCATATCGATTAACCATTTTGTATGGAACACTGTGTAAATATTTTCGAAAGCGTTGAAAAATAATGGATTTCGGACATTGCGGAATCACTGCACACTCCGTACTACTTACTATAAAGTCTAAAACAATAATTTGGGATAAATCTTCGACGTCTGCTATAGACGTGTAGAATAAATATTGCAGTCAAATAATTTAACACGATAACAGTACTTGCAGTGTACATAATGGATGTGTATACGTAATTCGTTTGAATTTTAAAACAAACAATATTGTCAATATTATTTCATGGACTATATTTGTGTTTAATTTTAAAATACTATTCAAACTAACTTTGCTGAACGGGGCAGATGATGTAATATTTCATTTTATATTATGTCAAAGCGTCAGGTTAATCATTTCTATGCAAAACATTTTATTATTTAATAGCAGCTATAATAATAATGTATTTTTATTCGACATAATAATTCCTTCTTAATTATATATTAGGTAATAATAATAAATTGACATATCCATGTGGGTAGTCGCCATTGGGTCACTGTTGAAGAATATGCGCTCAGGAAATTAATATTTTTGCACCATATAATATATTGCAAAACATCATGATGGTTTTAATTATTTTGGACTTGAAAAAATTATTATTTATTATTTTATTAATTAAAATTTGTTTTTTTACGTCCTCGRAAGTACCTTTATTCAATTGCGTTATTCTGATGAGTGAATTGATTTTCAGGGTTTTGCAAACTGGTTTATTGTTTAGTTTTTTTTTCGTATCCAGACGTATCATTATAATTAATAGCTTATTTTTTMGGTATTCAAACCTATAGTAAGCTTAGTTTTATCTTTTTTTGTGTGTTATCTTATATTAATTACCTGTTTGTATGTTTTATTAATTAATACATTGTTTATTATAGCAATAATTAGACTTAGTATGATCTCAAGTCCTATGTATTAACTATAGAGATTATAAGTACAAATAGCTTAGATCAATAATTATTATTAGGATAACAAATCCAATGTTTGAAAGGAACATTTTTTTGTATCTTTCAATATCGTAAAATAAATACTAAATATAACGTATACAGTGTGATTCTTATTAAAGGTAACACTAAATAATTCTGTCCATTGCAGTGACATCGGATTTACATGCGGTTTTCGGGACGAGACAGAGAATACATAAATACACTTTTCCTGATGATTTTAACATTTTTAGGTCTTTCCGAGTGCGCATGCGCAATACAACTTGCATTAATTTTATAAATCAGATAGACCGAATTTTTTTAAGTTAATTTTTACCATAACTCTAAAATCAAAATTGACTAAATGACAACGAGTTAAAGTTTCGATTAATATTATCGAATTTTTCAACAATCATACTAGAACTTTATGAAATATTATRAAATTTCAAGAGTTTTTTTTATTCGTAGGTTTGCAGACATTATTAAATCATTAAAATTTAATTTTGAGAAATTATTTAACCTCAATTAGACGTAAATGTTAGTTAATTTACTAAGAAAAGATACTACTAAAAAAAAATAAGCAGCATCATTTTTTTTCTTTCTCTGACCGACAAACGAAATTACAAATTATGGTTAACAGAACTTATAACCCTATGTTGTTACTTTTGTCTTTTGTGTGGATTCACCAATTATCGAACTTTAAGAAAACAATATTACTACGTTTACTAATTTGAATTCTTTATGTWTTTTTTTTAATTTTCATGCAATTTGTAAGTATTTTTAAATTGTAACATTTTACACGCTAGTATAAYTTACTTAAATATTAAAATATCATAAAATATCCAACGTAGCTACACGGGCGATATTGTTTGATCGTAGGCGAAGTTACTCTAATACTGAAAGTTACCAACAACATAAGGCTGGTTTTGCCGAACGCAAGTTTGGTATCTATATCTTTCGCTTGGGTCAGAGAAAGAGAGAGAAAACAAATGTTGTGCTAAGAAAAATCTTCTTAATGTTTTCGGTAGGACATTTTAACATTTKAAGAATAATTTAAATATAATATTATAGACCAAAAATTCAAAGTATTTTTCAAGTGATGGCGTTCACTGTATCTGTTTCAAATTGATCGTTTGGTACCTATCTTATGATTCACGAAACTATATATAATATTATAGTGAATTTATAAGATAAAAAACTGCAACTGTAGGGTATTTACCATTTCTTGCGTGCAATAATATTGTAAAATCGATAAAGGATAATAATATCTTGAAGAAAATGAACATATGATTATATTATTTAGTATTTGTTTTACGATATCGAATAGGAACAAAATTCGAACGTTCACAAACGGTGCTCTTTCCAAACACCGTATTTCAGAGAGTTTTGACATCGTCTTAATAAACACGGCGGGTGAAACGTTTTCTTGAACACAACACATCGCACACTACTGCTGCAGTCAGTCGCYGTCCGTTATAACATTATGTCAATATTTAGACGAGTGCGTGGACGATGTACCGACGGAATAGAATATGAAGCTTCATCGCACGATTTGTTTGTTTATCAATTACCGTGTGTGTATAGGCACACACGAGTTGGTCACGACAGTCATCGTCGTGCGATCGATTGCCAAGCCATAACACTGTACGTGCGACGTGTGACATTTGAACGCCGAAATGTACGCGATTATCTAAGTAATAATTGACGTCTCGGCAATGTATAAATCACATTTTTAATCCAACTCWCGGGGCGCCAGATGATCAGACAAGACTACATATTATTATGCTACTGCCTACTGCTGTGGCCACGGCGGCGGTGACGTGACGTTGGCCTTGGCTAGCAAGCCGAGAAACTGTAAATAAAACTTGCACACGGCGTAAACGTAATAATATCGTAACGAAATTTTATAGTGTCCGACAACCAAATAATTGTCATCATATTATAATTTTAAACCGCCTGACTTTCGATCCTACGACAAAGCGTTTGTCTCAATTAATTTCGCATATCCACTGCTGCACTATGCGCCACTTGCATTGCTAATATAATGTCGAATTAATATTTTTATTCGGTTTTCTCACAAAAATATAAATTTTTATTATACGTGGACAATGTTTTACATGCAAATGTACTTATCTAATCATTTTATTAATATAAATTAAAATCTTGGCTTCATGCATTATGGTATTTACATCAGTAAATCTTAATAATTACAGAACTACATGATACACGAAGCAATAAAAT